TATTTATCTTTGAGCTAGCCTTTTGCTTTTTATGCTGTTTAGCTAGTATTCTGCTACTTTTAGCTAGTGTTTTGAGCTTTATTAGCTTTAGCTAGCATTCTGCTCCTCTAAGCATTTAGCTATGTTTAGCTTCTTTCAGCAGAAAATGTAATTTCTTTAGTTCCAACGTTTTTTAGCCTCATCGTCTTTAAATAATTTGATTTTAAAAATCCTGAGCGTTTTTATTTGTTGTTTCTTTACAGAAAACAGAATTGTTAAACATCGAGCTCCTTCGGCTGCTGCGAGGATTTTAAAGTAGATTTTTTTCTTCTCTCGCAGGTGAACCGATTCAACAAACGCACGGACCGAGCCCTGCTGGTCACAGACGAGTCCATCTACAAACTGGACCCAAAGAAGAACTTCAAGGTTCTGAAGAGGCTTCCTCTGGACTCGGTGAGTCCTCTCATCGACTCTTCACGAGGACTCAGTGTCCTCTTGTCTTTTTATTATTTAAATCAAGTAATCCTATTAAAAGACGAGTTGTTACCCATAATGCATCACTGCAGCGGAGCTCCATCGTCGTCCTAAAAACTGAGCTGCTCTTTCTTCAAGATGCTTTTCTTCTCATCGGAAGAGTTTGAACTAAAAACGTTTCAAACTTCAATAATTTACTTTGTTTATGAGAGCTGAACTCACATGCAAATCACTGTGCCTGCCCTCCCTTCAGGGTTTGTTTTCTTTCAACTTTATTTGTACAGGTTAGTCCCATTGAGCCTCGGGGACTCTTTTACAGAGACCTGATTTAACAAACAGTGACGACAACGACAATAGACGATCATAAGAGCCATGCAAATGTAATTTATTTAATTTTTTTACAAATTAAAATAAAATGGCAACCAAAAGAACAGTCAAAAGGAAAAAGTAGCAACAAAACATCTAGATTATAAGACGTTGTAGAAAAGTAAAAACAGGAACATGTCTGCGTTGGTTCTTGTCAGGAACTCAACAGATGTTTTCCAGACTGTTGTCCCCGTCCACTGGGTATTAGACTCAGAACTGCTGCTCTTCAGACCCTAACGACCCTCAGGAAGGAGAGTGATTTGCACGTGAGCTCAACACGCATTAATAAAGCGACTCGCTGCAGATTCAAACTTTGATCTTTGTTCCTTTTTATTTAAATTAGAAAATATCTGCGATGGAAAGCAAAAACAATAAAACTACATTTATAAATTATAATTAAGGCTTTAGAAACAGTTAATTCATGAGTTTAATACTTAATAAATATAATTTTGACGCATTAATAATATTAATAAGCGCTTATAAATGATTTATTAATGCGTCATAAATTATATTTCTTGAGTTCAACTCTTAATAAAGCATTAATAATCACATAAATTATTTAGTAATCCTTAAAAATTATGTTTCATGTAACAATTAATAAAGATTATTAGTGAATTATAAAACTGTTATAAGAACATTCAGACAGTAAAGCAGTCAACATCAAGTGTTCTGTAGTAATAATTAACATTAACGTTAATAATCTTATACGTTCATTTTTCTTGTGGCTTAGTTTTTTTTAACTTTGTGACTTTTTAAAACCAAAGCAGTTTTTTTACGTTAGCGCTCGTTTAAACTGCCAGAGTGAACAGAACCAAGAGAACCGGTAAACATGGTGACGTCGTTCGATCTGAATGTAACGGTTTATTAAAGGCTTCTTTAGTTTCAGCGACTCCCGGCATCATTACGTTAGTTACTGCTCCTATACCTGAACGAGTCAACAAACTGAAACATTTGATTTATTCTGCTTTACTTTATTACTTTACTTTCCTGTTTTTATCGGGTCGGAGCTGAAAATGTTCAGAACTCCAGCAACGACTCCGGACCGCAGCAGGTCCACGTCTTCACAGCGTCCAACAATCTGGGTCAGACTTTTTGTTTTCAGTCTCGCCGGGTTTCGCAGCGTCTGAGCTGAACCGGTTTCAGAACCGGAGGAGGGGATCTTGACCCGTTTCAACGCAGAGGTTCTGCTGTTCTTCTGAACATCTGGACGCAGACTCAGTTCTGCTTCCTGTTTTCATGAGACGTGGATCTGGCTCATTTTTAAGACCTGACCTCAGGAACTGGATCGGAGGTCTCACAGGATCTGAAGTGACATCATCAAGCTTCAAATTTAGGTTTTAGCTCCGAGGGACGTGAACCTGGATTCTCCTGTGCAAAAGTCTTGATCGACCCCTCCTTCCTCCAACAACCATCTTTTTATCTTTTTGTATTTATTTGAAGTGGATCTTTTGTGTTTTTCAGTTCCGTGTGCTGCTCTGAGCTCTGTCATGTGAGCGACGCAGAGCGAGACCGAGTGGAAATTTAATTTTGATTTATTGCCAAAAGCTGCAGGTTTGATTCCAGAGTAGCGACAAACATCTGAGGACGAGTCTCATCGCTGCACACAACCCTGGATGAAACTCCAACGAGTCAAACACGTCCGTTTAATTCACGAAGACCTCAGCTGGTGGTTGTAAAACACAACGTGACCTCATCTGGTTTATAAACGAGAACACGCTGCCGTGTCTCTTCAGCAGATCTTTGTACGTTGTGTCGTATCGTACGCATCAACACCGACCTCAGTTTGGAGACGAGCTAACGGCTAGTCTGAGCCGAACTTCACCTTGTCCCACCCAGAACTTCTGGTCCACTCCAGATAATTTAACTGAACATCTACCACCATAAGATGGCACACCTGTACTCTTTTCATCATTCCAGAAGATCAAGGTCACAAATCAAGGTCAAACACTATGAAAGGTCTTTGTCCGGATCATTGCTATAGATTTCTGTGTAATGGTTTATCGACGAGCGTGTGATGTGCCGTGCACGTTGACATTTGAGTTGCTTTAAGATCCATTTTGATCTCGGTCCCGCTCAGACTAGCTGTTAGCTTGTCGGTCCGATCAGAATTAACTGTTTAAAACGGAAGTTACTGCAGTCAGTTTAGCTCCACCTGAGGTTCCAGTGAAGCCCAGGACCGGCTCTGGACCCGAGTCAGCGCAGCTGTTAGCCAGAGGGTTAAACGTCATCGTTATGCAGCGGCGAAGCAGCTGAAGATAGCTGCTGTCATTAAGGTCCGCTGCTCAGACCGAGGAGGGAGAGCCACGTCAGAAACACAAAACATTTATTTAAAAATCAGGACACGTCACCAGACCGAAGCCCAGATTCATCGAAAACTGGAGGAACCAGAATCAAACCTGTCGCTGTCGTTCAGACCCGTTTTCCTCCAGGATTACAGAACCAGAGCCGACGTCGGCTGTCTGCAGAGCTGCTGCTTCACAGGTGAGTTTAGGAAACTCCACTCCGCATGTCTTCCAGAGTTCATCCAAATTATTCTCGTTAAAGACGGCAGGTCCTCGAGGGGTCGCTGATGAGCGGGGTCTGAAGTCACTTTGAAGACAACAAAGTTCATGCTCAATCATCCAGGTGTCAAATCCAATAATTCTCTGTTGGCTCATCTGGACAGTTTCTTTTTTTAAAGTTTCTTTGAGGACATTTCATTTACACGAACGTCTCGTAACGTCGAAGCTTCAGCAGCAGAACAAATTGTTTAACAGATGTTTTTTAACTCAGGAGTGTTCCCTTCACCGAGGGGACAGGTTGTCCTTTTCAGGACGTCCAGCTCTTTATTGTCCTGACTGGATTAACCTGCGTGAGCTGGGGGTGGTAAGAGGATTATGATCTGCTCTGTCTCCCACTCCCACAGCTGAGACTCACTTTCTCTGTCCGGTTGTTCCTCAAACACTCGGCTTCACCTGGACCCGACTGGTTCTGATTCTTCTGATATCTACCTCCTCCTGCCTGCACAACGTCTGTTCGGTGCTCTAACTGGGTCACAGCACACGAGTCTCCCTCCACTGCACCTCCACGCGTGAACCGAAAGCTCAATTCCTCCCAGCAGACTCAGCCTGAGCAGAAATAATCCAAACATGCCGTGATTTAAATGAGAGAACACTGAAAGATACACGTATTAAAACTCATAACACTCACTGGTAGTTTCCAGTGCATTTGTGTCGCTCAGGCCCAGTTTACACGTGAACAATCTCTGGGGTCGTTAACGTTTTCCAGATGTTGATGGTGGAACAGTCACACGTTCACGCGGTAAAGCTGCGCTCGTTAAATCGGCTGTAGATTCCATGCCAGGTCAGTAGGTGGCGCTGTGACTGATGGATTTCAACGACACTCCCAGACATTAAAATCTGGAGCAATGAAACAGTTAAATGTGAGTACAGGAACGCTGGTTTGGACCAGGATGAGGCTGGTTTGCTCCCACATGTTGAAACGTGTGATCAGCACAAACAGCACTCTGCTGTCCGTTACTTTTATCCATCTGTTTGTGCAGAAAAACTGTAGCGCACATTATTGAGCACATCATTGAGCCTGCATCAGGAGGTAGCGCACATGCGTGACTTCACACCGACGTCGAGCAGCTCCTCGTTTAGCAAAGGAGAACTTTGAGGAGCTAATGAATGAAGAGAATGAAAGAGAAAGAAGAGCAGAGGTCATAGAAACTGTGGACCAGGAAGTGAGAAAGATTAGTGAGGGTGAAGTCCAGAAGCTCTGAAAAGAATGAAGAAGGGGAAGGCAGTAGGACCTGATGACCAGTGGAGGTTTGGAAATGTCTTGGAGAGATGGCAGTGAGGTTTTTGACTCAAATATTCAATGGCATATTTGAGGGTGAGAAAATGTCTGAGGAATGGAGAAGAAGTGCTGGTGGCCATTTTTAAGAACAAGGGTGATGTACAGAGTTGTAGCAACTACAGGGGAATTAAGTTGATGAGTCACATGATGAAGATCTGGGAGAGAGTTGTGGAAGCAAGACTTAGACCAGAGGTGACTATCTGTGAGCAGCAGGATGGTTTCATGCCAAGAAAGAGCACCACAGATCCATCTTTGCTTTGAGGATGCTGATGGAGAAGTACAGAGAGGGTCAGAAAGAACTCCATTGTGTCTTTGTGGATTTAGAAAAAGCACCTGACAGGAGGACAGCAGAACATGTTAGACTGGTACAGGACATGTATGAGGACATCAGGACAGTGGTGAGATGTGCAGTAGGCGTCATGTTTTCTGCCTCTGTCACTCTGCACTCACAGCTCAATCAATACTTATGCCCTGCACCTGTTTCCCGCTCTATTTAAGAGCTCTTGTCGCCCAAGCTTCTGGCCAGATTATACTATCAGGAGGTCTGGGTTTTTATTCAGAATCAGACAGACAACAAGAGTCTAATAACAAAGCATAGTTTTATTGATTTTGCAGCTGTAGGTGAGAGTCAGGATCCAGCTGCGGGAACACGTCTTCACAGGCAGGTGGGGTGAGAGCCACCTATTGAAGCTTGGAGTGATGACGTCACTGCAACTGGTGGAAAGGCAGAGCAGAGGGAGGCCTTTAATGCTGTTGACAGGGGGGCAATGCAGGGTCGTGGTCCAAAGGGCGAAGCGGGGTTAAACACAGGGAGTCAAAGGTTCAAGAACAAATCCAAAGATCAAACCATAATCCAGAATCCATAGTAGTCCAACACCAGGGTCAGATGGGCAGAACCAAATCGTATGAGGAACAATTCAATTCAGTTTATTTATATAGCGCTAAATCACAACAAGTTGAAGAACAGGCAGAACAGTAAATCCACAAGGCAGACGTGAAGTCGAAATCTGAAGAGCAAGGTGTGAAACAGGCAAGAACAGGATACTAGATGGCTGGATAACAGGATCCATGGAAGGTCTGATAATCTGGCAGAGTGGTGAGAGGAGTTCTTAAATAAGGCCAGGAACAGGCGCAGTGAATAAGGGCTGACGAGCTGCAAGTGCAGCGGGGGCGTGGTAGAGTGACAAACAGCAGAAACATGGCATGGAGGCAGATGACAGAGAACTGGGGATCATGGCAGTAGGAGTGACAGATAGCTTCGAGATGAAGGTGGAGTGCATCAAGGATCAGCTCTGAGCCCCTTCTTGTTTGCTCTGGTGATGGACCAACTAACAGCTGAGGTCAGGCAGGAATTCCCGTGGACTATGATGTTTGCAGATGACATTGTGATCTGTGGTGAGAACAGGGAGCAGGTGGAAGAGAACTTGGAGAGGTGGAGGTATGCTCTTGAAAGAAGAGGAATGAAAGTCAGTCGTAGTAAGACAGAGTCCATGTGTGAATGAGAGGGAGGAGGTGGAACAGTGAGGCTACAAGGAGCAGAGGTCTCAAAGGTGCAGGACTTCAAGGACTTGGGGTCCACTGTCCAGGAACATGGGGAGTGTGGTGAAGAGGAGAAGAAGAGAGTCCAGGCAGGATGGAGTGATGGAGAAAAGTTTCAGGAGTGATTTGAGACAAAAGGGTGTCAGCAAAGGTCAAAGGAAAAGTTTACAAAACAGTGGTGAGACCAGCTGTGTTGTCTGGTCTGGAGACAGAGACATGGACAAAAAGACAGGAGACAGAACTGGAAGTGAAATGAAGATGTTGAGGTTCTTCTTAGGAGAGACAAGGATGGAGAAGATCAGGACTGAGATCATCAGAGGTACAGTACAGGTTGAACAACTGGGAGATGAAGTTAGAGAGGACACACTGAGATGGTTTGGACATGTCCTGAGGAGGGACAGTGGTTTGGACATGTCCAGAGGAGGGACAGTGGTTTGGACATGTCCAGAGGAGGGACAGTGGGTATATTGATATAAGAATATTAGAAATGCAGCTGCAGGAAAAAGACAAAGAGGAGACATATGGATGCAGAGAGGACATGGAGGTAGTTGGAGTGAGGACAGAGGACAGAGTGAGGACAGAGTGAGATGGAGGAGGACAACTCGCTGTGGAGACCCCTGAGGTAAAAGCCAAAAGTAGAAGAAGAAGAAGATGATGAAGAGGAAGAAGAGCTAAAACATTTGTCAAAAAATGAAAACTGAAATGTGAAACAGTTTAGCTGCTGAAATAAAATAAAAATACTAAAAGCAACAGTTGCGTTTCATCACAGGAAACAAAAACTTTAATTATTGGTAAATAATAAACATTTAATTCCAGATCACATGAAGGTTTCATGTCCCGTGTTTGTTAAAGTTCTCCTGTATCCATGCAGATGAGCAAAGACTGTACGGTGGCAGCAGCTTCCATGAACTCCTGTGTCCTGTCCCAGTTTACAGGACTGAGCGTGACCAGCGGGGTGGACCAGATGGTGGCGCTGCACACGGCCTCTCAGGACGACGTCCTGCTGTGTCTTCAGGAAGGACAGCTGTGTCCCAACCAGGACAGGGTGGGCGAGCTGGTGGGAGCGCTGGTGGACCACTTCACACGGTCAGTCGCTGCTCCTTTATGAAGCCTCGAGACGCTCCTGCAGTTCGGAGTTGGTGCTCAGCAGGAAACCTTTCGGCTAATAATTAGCTAACATGCTAATGTCTGTTGAGTGACTCTGATGCAGAAAATGGAGCTGAACGAGGAGCTGCACAGTCTTAGTGAGTCAGGGTTTCTGGTTGAGCTCTCAAACTGCTGGACTTCTCCAAGTGTTTTTGTCTTCAGCTCTCTGAGTCCAGGCGAAACATTCAGCGCGCAGACTCGTTGCTAACGCCGCAGATTCGTTGGTTTATGCACAAACGATACAGTTTTTCATTAAAACAGAACCTCGTCGGCTGAATTCGCTCATTAAGAGTTTCTGAAGAGAGGAGAGATTAACGAGCTAAAGTCTGGAATCAAAACTTCAGCGCCTCAAATCTGGTAAACGAAGGAGCCAGACGTTCAGCTGCCAGACGCCGTCACATGACGATCGTGTTCTGGGTGTTCTTCAGGGTCCTGCTCCGGGACGTTTTTCTTCCTATGAATCTGAATCACTGAGTTTTCACACACGGCGGGAGGTTCTGGTTCTGTGCGAGTCCTCATCCTGCCGGCTCCACGTCGTGTTCTTCGCAGCATCTCTCAGAGTTCTTCAGCGCCGCCGGCGCTCGTCGTGATTCAAACTGAAGGACTCGTATCGTCCGTCGTTTCTGTTTCCAGCCTCTGTTCTGTGCGACAATGATTCACTCAGAGAAACATCAGGGAACCTTGTTTGTGACTCATGACGATGAGGCGATCCGGTTCCCTTGAGTGATTCATGCCCCCCCCCCCCCCCCCCTCAGTGTGCAGGAAGTCCTTATTCTTTAAGACCTTCTGATAAATCAACAAACTGAACGGAAGATAAAACGTTAGTTTTCGTGTTTCGTGGGTCCAGCAGATGGCGGCTCCTCGAGTCTCTTTGTGTTCAGGATCCCAGAGGAGGCTTTTGTGTTTTTATGAGATTTGTTTTCCTGGGAGGGGGGGTGGGGGGGTCAGTCCCCTCTGCAGCTGCAGAGAGCGGAGACCTTCGGGGAGCCGTCAGCTCTCCACCTGTCAGCGGGCCACCATCTGTGACGAGTGGGGGGTCGTGACCTCTGCTGGGGGTCCGAGCGCTGCCCAGTGTGAACAGCGGGGGGGATGAGCCTCCAACAGGAAGTGAAGGCTGCGTTGACCCGGACACAGGTGTGTGGTTACCATGGTGACCATAACGAGCTCAAACAGAAATCACTTCTGAAGCATCTGAGCTCCTCCGTTCAAACTGAGAGTCAGTGAAGGCATCACGCTTCAGAACGTCTGCACTGACAACTGTGAATAACTGGGTCAGTGAAGGCATCACGCTTCAGAACGTCTGCCCTGACAACTGTGAATAACTGGGTCAGTGAAGGCATCACGCTTCAGAACGTCTGCACTGACAACTGTGAATAACTGGGTCAGTGAAGGCATCGTTTCGCAGCAGAAAGGTGAAAATCTGACTTCAAAGCTCCTCTTCCTCTCCTGCTCTTCATCGTCTCGTCTCTGATCTGGTGTGTTCGGGTGTCGGCATGTCAGCCAGGAGAGTAAAGTGGGGGTTCTGGGGGGGTGGACCATCTGTTGGGACAGCTGGGGGAGCAGGATTTAAATCTGAGACGCTCCTTTATTCCTCAGTTTGATGAACTCCGCCGCCTCCTCAGCACCGTTTACTTTTATTCTTTTACAGCCTAATTATTTAATTATTAAATTATTAAATTATTAAATTTACGTAACGGTTCTGATCGTTTTAAACGGACTCTGTAAACGGTGCGGAGCTGTAGACAGTCGTTTGATTCGTCAACAATGAACTAAACAAATGAAGAGTTTTGAATAAATCTTCAATAAGAAGAGCTGAAAGTTTAAAAAGCAGCTTCAGTTCATGAAGTTATAAAATAAAAGATTAAAACTTTATCAACTAAAGTGGACGAGCTGGATCAAACAGGAAGCTTTAGTTTCTTTTTAATTATTTTAAAAACATTTTTCTGTTTGAGCATCGAGGTCCGACGGGTCTTCAAAGGTTCTGGTTCAGATCTAACGGCTCGTCTTCCGGGTCAGCCTCTGCAGAGCGGCAGCTAAAAACTTTCATTAGTTCTGAATGAGGCGCGAGGACTCGAGAAGTCCAGAGACCGGTTCTGGACGGGGGGGACCGGTCGGAGCTGGTGTCAGAACCTGGTCCCTCCCAGGTCTGAATGTAGTTTTTAGGTCATGAAGGACGTCACGCAGGTCCTGAAATATCTCCTCTGTCCCTCGGCGTCCGTCCTCGACGTGTTCGTCTCGCTGTCGGACCGGGCCGAACCGCAGGAGCCCGTCTCTTCTGGACCTGATCACTCTGGACCTGGTTTGGATTCACCGGATCACAAAAGAAACATAATGTTCTCCTGTTTTACTGTTTGACCCAAAGAACTGAGGGATTCATCAGAACAGCTGAAGATCTCCTTTAGCTGTTTTAACTAAACTCTGTCAGAACAGCTGAAGGAGCAGAACAGAAGCTAAAATGAACAGAACAGAAGCTGAAGGAGCAGAACAGAAGCTGAAGGAGCAGAACA